TCCAACCCTATAACCCTAACTTTTAAATAAAGAAATGGTTATGACTAATTTATTTTTTATTCAAACATTAAATCTTCAGCAAGTTGTTAACATCAACACAAACTTAATCATTTCCAATTTTCCTATATCTACAATGCTATTAGTTGTAAACTACAGAGGGATTCAGTAGTTATCTGAATAACTACGGATTTTAATACAACTCTGAAAAAAATCATGAAGCAGCTCTCACATACAGATTTTGCTACAAAAATCTGTCCCTCTGGTATTTGGCAGCCAATCTGAAATATGAAGATTGAATAAGTTTTCTTCATATGGTGTTATATCCAAAAAGGATGTTCTGAATGGAATGAAAGTAACTCAGTATATCATTTCTCTGAATCTTTTAGTTCTCTGTAGATATTAACAATTTATGTCATAAGTTCAATACAACCAAACAATTACATATATTTGGCCAGCAAGTATCATGTCTCCACCCAAGTAATTATCTCAGCTTTCTTCAAAACCAGAAAAGCAAGATCTAGCATCAGCTACTGACAGAAGCCTAGACGTAACATAACCAACTACAGTAGTTGTAAATATGGTGTTCCTGAAACTTTGCTAAAGAAAAGAGAAGTACTCATTAGATAAGAACAAACTTTTCTGTAATATCTGATGCTCCACTAAAACAAATTAACTAGATATTCATCTAAAGTTTTGTACGGAAAAAGCTATATTGAAGTCTTTAGATTTCTTCTTGCCAATTGGTTTCCAAACCAGCTTGATGCTTCCCTAAATATTAAAAAGTGGCTTTTAGGCAACATACATTATTACACACTTCAAGTGTCCCTTTCCCATGGAAGCCAAAGCAGGGCTCTAATTGCCTTGCCTAATAGATGTGTCCTTTTTCAGGTCACTCATTTATAGCTTCATCTTCCTCTCAAGATTGTTGCGATAGGAAGCTATCTACACACTATGAACTATCTGATCAAAAAATAGATTGTACTAATTGTTTCATAACATGGTAGTAATATTTTAATATGAACTTTGTGATATTTACCTGATAAATGGAATTTAAGTAACTAAAATGCATTTTGATATGATTTATACTATGGTCTTCAATGGGTTTCTCTGACGAATCAAGGAGACTGTGGATTAATCTGGATTAAATACACTTATATCCCACTGTTCATATAAACAGCAGTTAACAATAATTTACTTGCTTGAACACTACAGATGATCAAGATGAAGTATGCTAGTCCAGATTTTGTGAAAGTACAAAAACAAACTGAATTTCTTGAACTGATTCCTGACTGTGCAGCTGAGTATCAGAAATGATATATGGTGTAATATGGACATACACTCGTAAGACAATAGAACTTAATCAAGTTAATTAATAACAATTGCACTGTAATTCTATACATGTCTTTTATGAAAAAAGTCCCTAGAACTCAGCGGAGCTCATTCAGAATATGAAGGATGCCTGCAACCTCAATCAATTTCAGCATCTAGGGGGAAGGGGGCAAAAAAGCAACAATTAAAAAATCCTCTGGAAGTCATTATATAAATCCTTGTCCATTCAAGTAGATTTCACAGAAAATAACCAATAGAATGGTTAGCTATTTTTTTTTAAAAGTACCCATATAAATTAGTCTTTAGGATTAGTCTTTATTTCTATAAAATAAAAAGCATAAAACATGCCATGTCTATAAAAAGTTTAAAAAGAGCATAGTTTGGAAAATGCATGGAAAGAATGTCTAGTTCGCAAATTTAAAAAGCAGGCGCATTCAGTGTTTCTAGGCTGCAGCAATATAATATGCCAGAGTTCATATCTTAAGATTTTTCCAAATTCCATCCGAGCCCCAGCTTGCCCAGCAATGAAAATAAAAACTTGAATCTCACTCAGCTCAGCCATATATTCCCTATCACAAATGACACAAGACAGAAAATGTCCAAAGCTTGTCAGCAATCAGACTGGAACAGAAACACTCTTTTTATCCCATTACTTGGTGCTGAAGAATATTTTATTGTTATATTGTTAATACTAGCCGTGATCAACCCAGAAGTAATTAGCACTACATTCATATACACATCTACTCAAGCATAAGCTATACTGACTTCAGTAGGACTTATTACTACATAAATGTTTGAAGAACTGTTTTGTGTTATATTATTTAATCTGAGAATAAAATATTTTAAAAGAAGCAACTCATTCGAGTGTTCTAAATGAATTGTATGAAATCATATAGATATTGAATGAAGCTAATAGAGGGAGACAAATTTCATACCCTTGAGAAATATCAAGGATGAAATTTATTAAGTGCAGCTCAAGAGGCAGTAAGATTATATATTTTAATGTCACTGAAATAGCAAATACCCTGCCTTAACATATAAATACTAAATTCACTTCATATTAATGACAGCAGTAATGTCCAAAATAGTCATCTATTGCTATAAAGAACAATAAAATTAGAGGAATGATATGATTTTCAACTACATAAAAATTACAGGCATACTGAAAAATCCCAATGAACTGGATGGAAATGGATAAAGATCATTTGTGAGGCTATTCCAGTTATCAGCAAAAATATGCCACAACCCATTTCTCAGCAGATCAAGCCTCATCTACATATGCCTAAACCATAGTACAGCAAAAAAAAAAAAAAAAATTCAATTTACACTTCCTTTTTTACTCCTCTCAAGACACACTGTTTAAAACAGATTTTCAGCAACCTACAAAATGGGAAGTTATAAGCAGATTCTCAAAATATATCATTAATCCAATCAGCCTTGTTAAAATTATAGAATAAAAATATGCACTTTTGATTCACAGTTTGGTTAAATAACATTTGCTTTAGTGAATATACTCTTTTACTGAAACAAATTGGACCTACTTCCCAGAACATGATTTCAAGGGATGGAGAGTTCACCAGAAATACTGCAACTGCAAAGGCACTCTCATGCAATCCCACCAATCTGACTTCTGAAGTCAAAGGCACAAAGAAATTAATGATTTTAACACAAAGTCACTACTACAAAGTTATCTGGAACAGCTGCAAGTAGTTTAGGCAGATACAATCTTATCCAGTGCACATTGACTCAATCCATGACTGAAGAAATATCAAACTGCCAAAAGTAGCAATCGGGTAATTTTGTCATTGTATTACAGAGACCATTATATACACTTGATATTCCAATTAAGGCTTACAAAGGAGAAAAATATTTACCTTAGAAAAAGAAGCTCCAATAGGATAAACAAGGACAATAGCAACAAAAGTTATCAGCTTCCTATACATTCACTGTTGCTATTGCATCTGAGTTGTTACCAGCATCACTAGTACTTTTAGAACTGACAGAAAAAGACTATAAAAGGAATCAGGAAAAATGTATACTTGTTTTAATTCAGTAATAGAGAATATATTTCACTATTACAATATACTTCCCACCTATTTTGATGTTAACTATTAATTGTATTAAAGTATAACACAAATAGTCGTGCAGATCTTCTGCTGAGCTACAGAAATACACATTTTTATGTTACAACCTTCAAAGTCTTTCTGAAGAATAATAATGCTTCAGCACACGTTCTCTACAGAATAAAAACATCTGTATTATTCTATACTATATTTTAGAAGATGAATCTAATTAGGAAAATCATCCAGAATCCCTAATTTTCACAATGAAATTATATTAAAAGGAACCAGATATCTATCCTCATTTCAACTAACACTTCCCATCCCCCAAATAGTTTCAGCATTTTAGAAATGTAAGAATGTACCACATTCACCTTATTTTGTAGTCAGCTTGGGAATCCAAAAAATGATCCCACGGATCATAAATAATCTATGTTCCTACTGACTCAACTCTTTTACAAAATGTATTCTTCAGCACTGGTTGCATTGATTCCAAAACCATACATTTATTTCTTGTAACATCCAAGTACCTGAATGGCAAACTAAAATGTTATTGGTTATCTGCTAGGGAAAAAAATGACATGCACCTTTTCTATTTATGATATTGCATCTCATCGTTGTCGTCATCATACAGGCTTGTGGTAGCCCTGGATTTTGCACTTATATAATATTAGATGAAACGTTCATGCTTTAAAATTATCACATGACCCTGATCACCATCCAATATACTAGGATTCTCCAGTTGTTGTTCAATTCCCATTAGTTCCAGTAAATTTAATCAATAATGAAGAATGAGAAATGCAGACCAGACCAAAGTTGTTACAAGGTTCCTTTTTCTACAGTGGAAGAGTATCTTATAGATTCCAAGACTACATCATTCCCAAGTCTCCAACTGCTGAGAGGAAACGGGGTGGGTAGAAATATAAATTGGTAAGGGAGGGGAAACAACATGGCCATAGGCCAACCATAACATTTCTCTTCTATTACACGAACAAACGTTTTAGTATTTAGTTCTGGAGAACCAAATAAGTCTGGCTGCTAAAATGACTCCAGAGGTAGAGATAAACAATCCACTAAAAAGTGCTCCATCAATGGAGGTTTTTAAGAAGAGACTGGACAGTCACTTGTCTCAGATTGTATAGGTTCTCCTGCTTGAGCAGGGGGCTGGACTAGAAGACCTCCAAGGTCCTTCCAGCTCTATTCTATTGTATTCTATTCTATTCAGTGCCACTAAACCACTTGGGACATAGGTAGGCAACCTAACGTCACCCTGAATGACCTTTACTGCTAGTGATACAGTATCACCTAAGAGGCCAGGACCTTCTGTACAGCCCAAATCTTCATTGCATTTATATCAAGTTTTCAGCTGAGAAACTGCCAGTCTGGTGGCCTAGAAAACTACTAGACCGACACATTTTGGAAAGGCAACCCCAGATCTCTTGATCAGCAAATCCAAAGCCAACTCCAGAAGCGCAGCCCAGCCTTATTCATGACCACCTTTGTGCTTTCCAGGTAAGCCACCAGGTTGAACTTTTTTTTTCTTTTTTAACCCACATCCCAAGCAAGCAGCAGCAGCAGCAGCAGTAGCAGCAGATGGCGGTCCCCACTGACCTGTCCGTGATTGCGGACTGTGTGCCACTCATTGGAGCCCCCGGCAACAGGACGATTTTTTAGCCAATCTGCATCTTACGGGCAAATTTTTATGCGACTGTCACTTTCCCACACTCCACACCCAAGTTCAGAATCCAGCCGTATTCCAACGGAGAGTAGAATTAAAAGCCACACAGGTTTGTTCTTTTTTTTTTTTTTCAATCTTCCAAAAGATCCACCTCCCAGGACGCTCGGGGAAAAGCCACCGGGATCTTCTGCCAGCAAGAAAGGAAGGCCGTCACAGCCATGACGCGCTCCCCTGGAAACCCAGACGTCGCCTCGGTTCGAAAGGAAGACCCATCTCAGTCGAAGGACAGTTAATCGGCCGAGGAAGAAGATGATGATGATGAAGAAGAAGGTGCCTCTGGTTCAATTCCTCCTTCCCAGCCCTTCGTTCCCTCATCACAATCCCAGGATCTTCTCCAGACTTTTAGAGCATCCAGGACAGCCAGGTAGAGTCCTCAATTTGGCAAGGAGTCCTCAATTTGGCTGGGGCTGTTCCCCTTCCAGAAAAACCCAAAGATAAACAGCAGAAAGGAACCGGGGGGAGTGCAGGAGGGTGGTGGTTAATGTAGAGATTCAGGGTGGATCTTCTCCAGACTTCTACAGCGTCCAAGACAGTCAGATAGGTCAAAGCGAGGAATCCTCAACAGGCTGGGGGCTGCTCCCCTTCCAGAAAGACCCCAAGAAAAACAACAGAAAAAGAACTGGGGGGGGGGGGCTTTGATTTAGATATTCAGGGCGGGGGCCCAGGAAGGGGGGGGCCTTTCTGCCTTCTCCCCCCCAACCCTTTAAAAAAAAAAAAAAAAGGATTCCCCCCAGGGGCCCCTCAAAGCTGGGGGCGCGAGAAACCAAACCCCCCCCCCCCCCAAAAAAGCCTTTATGGGGCAGCCTTTCAAACCTTTCCAAGTGGAAAGCAGCCACCCCCAAACACCCACACCCCGCAAAGGAAAGAAAGAAGGCAGGCAGGCCTTTTCCTTAAGAGGGGGGGGTGTCAAAAAAGAGGGGGGCACAGCGGGGTCCCCTTTGGAGCTGCCCCTTCCAAGGGGAGCTCACACCATTCCTCGAGAGAGATAAAATACAAAATTAAAACACAAATTCCTACATAGGCGGGTGGGAAGGGGGAGGGGGCTTGCAGAGCCCCCTCCTCCAAGAAGCCAGGCGCGCCCCCCCCCCCCCCCCCCCCCCCCCCCCCCCGGCCCGGCGGGCGGGGGGGCCCCGCCCCCCCCCCCCCCCGCCCCTCTCTCCACCGGCGGCCCTTTCCGGCCCGCTTGGCCGACTCGGCCCGTCCCGCCTGAGGAGATTTGGAAACGACGAGCGGCCGCCGACGAAGCCCAGCCCGGTGCGATGAGGGGGAGAAGCGGCTGTCCGCTGCCTGGCGAGCCACTACTTTGCTTTCTCCGTCGTCGTCGTCGTCCGTCTTTTCTCCCGCCGCCGCTCCTGAGGCGATCTTTTTTTACCTCAGGCCAACGGTCCCCGCCGGCTTCCCTCAGCCAGGCCTCGGCTCCCCCTCGGCAACCTTCGGCCTTTTCCGGCACTCCCGGGACTCGTTTTCCTTCGCCTCGGCTCTCCCTTCCCTTTGCGACGTTGGCCGCCGCCGCCGCCGCCCTTCCCCCCCCCCCCCCCCCCCCCCCCCCCCCCCCGCGCTCCAGCTTTTTTTTTTCCACCCGACCTCGCGAGATCCCTCCGCCGGGACTCCGCCTGACGTGGTTGTGTTTTGTATTCCCCCTCCTCTCCCGTAGCCTTGTCGCTTCCGCCGCGGGATGGAAAAAAATAAAAAAGGGATGCGAGGAAAAGGAGTCCCTTGAAGGATGGGAAGTTCTGGAAGGCAGGAGCCGCGTTGTTTAAGAGTAAGGGGGTGTGGGTGGGAGATGCAGGTTTTCCAAAGAAGAGACTTAAGTGCTGAAAGGGAGTTGGTCTGGAATGGCGTGCAAAGAGAGCTAAAGAGCCAAAGCCACAAAAGTGAAATTGGGACAGAGTTGCAAAGTTGCTTCCACTTCTGTGAACCAACCGAGCTCATCTCCTTCCTTTTAAAGAGAGATTTCAAAGTTAGGACACAAGGCAAGGACAATAACTGCTCACAATCTTCTGCAGCTAAGAGCCCCTCTGGGGGGGGGGGGAGTTTTGGCCCAAATGCACACTTCCAACTCTGTGAACCATACAGCTGCTTTTGGGGAGGTTTGCAAACAGTCGAGGTGATGCTATTCATTATTTTTCCCTTCCTATGGACTTCCTTCCAGGGAGTGGGGAAAAAAAAGACCGACAGAGAGAGAGACAGAGAGACCAAATGTTCAATGCTTTAAGCCGAGTGTGCTTATGAGCCTGCTCTGTCACAAAACCGGTTCTTTATATACCAATATACATCATGCACATACATGATATGCAAAACATCAAGACGCGGAAAGCAGGGCTGGCAAAACAAATGAGTTGATGCATCAGGAGAACCATCTTGCTCACAAAAACAGACTTTTTAAAATGTCAGAGTTTCCTCCCCTCCTTCGTGGTGTTTTTGCTTGGCCGGTGTTTGAATAAGATCAGCGAAAAACTTGCAGTCTTTTAAGATAATTAAAACTTTAAAAAGCCAGGAGGAATAGAAGCAAAAAGGTTGGTTAACCCTGAAGCTCTTGGGGGAATTTTTCCAGCATGGATTCCATCGTTTGGCTATGCAACCCAAAGATAAGAAGAACAGAACAGAATAACAGAGTTGAAAGGGACTTTGGAGGTCTTCTAGTCCAACCCCTTGCTCAAGCAGGAAACCCTATACCATTTCAGACAAATGATATTTGATGTGAAACAAATCTTGCTCTCTCTCTCTCTCTCTCTCTCTCTCAGCAAGTGAGGTCATTCTACAGTATGTTGCTGTGTCATCTAGTTTGTGCCTAAGTCCAGTGATCATTACACAAAGTGGACACAAGGAGAATGACTTGCATTAGAGAAGACTTGTTTGTGGAGATCCTCCGTCCTCCAGGTGCTGGTTGTCCCAAAGGTGTTTTTTGTTTTTTTTCAAGAGGCAACTGATTTTCTTGTTTTTCTTTGAAGACATTTAGCTTCTCATCCAAGAAGCTTCTTCAGCTCTGACTTCGATGATGGGAAGAAGAAGAAGAAGAAGGAAGATGGTGGGAAGAAGGAAGGAAGGAAGGTGGGTGGGTGGAGGAATGAAGAAGGAAGAAAGAAAAGAAAAAAGAGAAGAAAAGAAGAAAGTCTATGGAAATTCTCAGTCAGCCAGGTCTCCTGGTTGTCCCAAAGGTGCTTTTTTTTCAAGAGGCAACTGAACTTTCTGGTTTTTCTTTGAAGACGTTTAGCTTCTCATCCAAGAAGCTTCTTCAGCTCTGACTGGATGGTGGGAAGAAGAAAATGGTGAGAAGAAGGAAGGAAGGAAGGAGAGTGGGTAGATGGAGGAAGAAAGGAAGGAAGGAAGAAAAAAAAGAAGAAGAAGAAAGTCTATGGAGCATCTCCTTCCTCCAGGTGCTGGTTGTCCCAAAGGTGCTTTTTCAAGAGCAACTGGACTTTCTGGTTTTTCTTTGAAGGTGTTTCACTTCTCATCCAAGAAGCTTCTGAACTGAACTGAAGACGCTTCTTGGATGAAAAGCGAAATGTCTTCCAGGAAAAATTAAAGTCTACTTACTTTTTGAAAAAGCACCCGTGGGATGAGAGAAGACGAGCTACCTTCCCTCTTCAGGAGAAAGGAAGACATTTTCTCCGAGAGGACCCTCCAGGGGTGAATTAGCGAAGGAAGGCTCAAAAGCTCCTATCCCCACAAAACACGCTTTCTCAACCATGGAAACTTGAAGGCACTAAGGCTGAGAAACATTGCCATACAGGTAATCCTTGACTTCTACCACCACAAATGGTGCCAGAATGTCCATCGCTAAGCAAGGGGCTTGTGAAGTGAGTCGCACCCGATTTTACAAGCTGTTTTGTCGAGGGTCATTAAATGAGTCGTGCAGTTGTTAAGCAAATCGGGCTTCCCCCGTTGTCAGGAACCAGTGGGAAGATCACAAATGACAATCGCACGATCCTGGGACGTTGGAAATACATGCGGCTTGCCAAGTGCCTGTATTTTGATCACGTGACCACAAGGATCCTGAAAAAAAGGTCATAAATGTGAACCCCGGTCGTAAGTCCCTTTTTTTCAGTCCCTTTGTGACTTTGAACCGTCACTAAACGAATGGCTGTAACTTGGGGATTACCTTGTGCTGCGGTGGCGGGGTGATTAGAGTGCAGTACTGCAGGCTTCTTCTGCTGACTGCCAGCTGTCTGCAGTTTGGTAGTTCGATCCTGACCGGCTCAAGGTTGACTCAGCCTTCTACCCTTCCGAGGTCGATAAAATGAGGACCCAGATTGTCAGCCCAGAGGCTGACTCTGTAAACCACTTAGGGCTGTAAAGCACTGTGAAGTGGTATGTAAGTCTAAGTGTTATTGCTACTTTCCTTCCTTCCTTCCTTCCTTCCTTCCTTCCTTCCTTCCTTCCTTCCT